CAACAAAAAGACAAGCTTCAAGATGTTTGAAGCATTCAAAATATAATTTGAATGAGAATGACATCACAGCAGCCATCTCAGTTGATGTGAGCATGGCTGGGTACCCATTCATACCTGGGTGAAGAGAAGATAATTCGTCTAAAGTGCCCTTTCCAAGTACACAACGTCGGGGTCTGAGGCTTGAACCCCCGAACTCGCAACCCATGATTACGAATCGGGAAGCCTTACAGATTAAGATTACGCATACAGAGCCCTCCATCAAAGGTTATTGGATCAGACTATACATCTTACAAAGTCTCCTCATCTAACAAAAAGTTATAATTTCAAATTGTTGTATTTGGTTAGCACTACAAAACCTAGATCTAGATCTAGATCTACGTAAGTTCCAACTTGTCAAAACACACTCAGTTTCATTGACTGAACGAAAATAACAAGATCCAGAACCAGATCAGCATTGTTCACACGTACAAAAAGAATAAGCAAAGATAAACATTTCTGAATTTACCGTATCAATTATAAATCACATTTTTGAATATTCTGAACAATCACAGATGGATAGGAACACGCTCAGTAGGGGACATCTGACATGTTGTTTTCATGAAGAGCCGTGAGCTGTGGTGTCTGAGCTCTAAAAAGCTCATTACCTATTTTTCAAAAGCCCACAACAGCTTCGCTTGTTACAGCTAGATCTAGATCTACATTCATCCCAAGCTCAAAATAAAACTTACCTCTGCACAAAATCCATAGACTGTAGATCTAGATCTAGATCTAGATCTAGATATAGATGTAGTTGCAGTGCGAGTGGAGTAACGATGTTACCCTGATTTTTTTCGGTAAATAAGCTATATTCTCCGTCATATTATACTTCTATACTTTCATTGTCAGCTGCTCACAAAGTCTGTGAAAGGTCTCAGGTGGCGCCACTGACGATTTTGAGGACGCTTTTTAGTTATTCAAAGAGAGGATTGAACTAGATCTAGACTAGATCTAGATCTATTTTGTATAATAAAATCTTAGACACTATCAAAGATAGTTAATAACAAGATGGGCCACTCAGCCAAAAAGTGTCCGTAGGAAGTTCGCTCTTTGCTTCAGATGGCGCTGCAGTCTGTTTTGAAGCTCTCTTTCGTTTTTCCAGAAGAAGAATAGGAATAGCACCTCCTTGCGTGCGCA